TAACATTATTAATTATTGTGTATTGTAACGATGGTGATTGAGAGAGAGGCAGTGAAAAGTAGGACATGGCTCAGTCGGAAAAGTGCTTGCCATACAAACAAAAGACCCGAGTGTAATCACCAGAACTCACATAAAATGTGGGCGTGCTGGTGTGTAATCCCAGTGCTGGGATGCAGAGGCAGGCAGAGCTCTGAGGCTCGATGGCCAGACAGCCTAGCCTACTTTACCAGCCAGTGAGAGACCTGGTCTTAAAAACCACGTGGAGCTGGTCCCTATGGCGGGGGTAGAGTGCTCACTCTTCATCAGGCATGGTGACACAGGCCTTTAATCCCAGAACTCAAGAGGCAGAGGCAGGCAGAGCTCCGTGACCTCAAAGCCAGCCTGGTCAACACAGCAAATTCCAGACCAGCAAGGGCCACGCATAGTGAGACACCGTCTCACAAACAAAACACACTAGATGGAAAGTTCCTGAGAAATGACAGCCAGTTTTCCCTCCGGCCTCCACCTGCACACACACAAATACACGTTCCCCAACACATATGCACACACACAAATCTGCATCCGTGCACACGAAGCAGGAGGTAGAGCCTTGGTGGATGACGTTGGCACTGGAGTAAGTCCTTGAGGGAATCTTGTCCGGGCCTCTTTCCACCTTGCTTCCTGCCTGGCTGCCATGATTGAACAGCTCTGCTCCTCCATGCTCTTCCCACCAGAGGGACTGAAACTTTGAAACCATGCGCAAAACAAATCCTTCCTCCCTTTAAGTCAGGTATTCTGTCGTGGTGATGAACGAGAACAAGGGGGCCAGTGAGATGGTTCAGCGGGTAGATGCACATGCTGCACAAGCTTGGAGACATGAGCTCAGTCTGTGGACTGAATCCACAGTAGAACCAACTCAAAAAAAACAAAGCTGTCCTCTGACTTACACACACACACACACACACACACACACACACACACACACACACACCATTAGAAGTAACTAATGCATTGGATACAGGGAAAGGAAAATGGTTGTGGATAGAAGGGTGTGTTTTCACATGCCAGTCTTTACCATTGTTGGTCCCCACGCCTGGGATGGAGGCAGCATAGAAAGACAGCTCAGATTAAGGGGACAGCAGGCGAGGAAAGGGTCTCTATACCCTGGACTCTTGCCAACTGCATCAAGAATTCCAGTACTAGTATCAAAATTTGCTGTGAAAGTTGCCTACGAAGAGACGGAATTCCTTTTATACAGTGATATTTCAAAAAATGTTAAAATAGCAATGACCCATACTAAAAGCTTGAGTGTATGTGACCAAATGTGGCCTTTCTCCTTTTCCACTTGAAAGCTTACAATGTTCTAGGTATCTCATAAGCAAGACTATAAACTCTATTTACAGTAAAAAACAAAACAAGCAAGGTGGTGGAGCATGCCTTTAATCCCAGCACTTGGGAGGCAGAGGCAGGCAGAGTTCAAGACCAGACTGGTGTACAGAGCAAGTTCCAGGAGAGTCAGGGCTATACAGAGAAACCCTGTTTCAAACAAACAAACAAACAAACAAATAAAAACGAAATGGCTTAACTCCCTTGTACAAATTCTGTGACCCATGGTTTTACTTTATTAGATTGTAACCCTTTCCAAGGAAGCCTAGGAACCATCCTATGATCTCATTTATCAAGAATGAGGGAAATGGCCGGGCGGTGGTGGTGCACGCCTTTAATCCCAGCACTCAGGAGGCAGAGGCAGGTGGATCTCTGTGAGTTCGAGGCCAGCCTGGGCTACCAAGTGAGTCCCAGGAAAGGCGCAAAGCTACACAGAGAAACCCTGTCTCGAAAAACCAAAAAAAAAAAAAAAAAAAAAGAATGAGGGAAATGGAGAAAAAAAAACATACTTGAGAAACCTTTTGAACAATGTAATTTTAGAAACCACTAGAATAATGTATATGGAACTGCTGAGACACTGGAGCCCATGCCTTTACTTGGGTGTACATTTTTCCTAGTCCCCTCTATATTAATCCCCGTGCTTAAATCTGTATTAAAACCTCTTCCTAATAAACTCCAACTCTGCCTCACCCAGGCTTATCCTGAAATTCTTTTCTGCAGGGGAGTTAAGAACCCCAGTTTCACCTGAGTAGAGGCCTCTGAAAAGTACTCCTCCGGCTAGTGCAGGTGGCCGCGTGGAGCTGCCTCTCTGGCCCAGACTTCACTGCTGAGGACAGAATGTTCTCTTCTTTTTGCAAGGCACACTCATTCTCATCTTTCAGGGCTCAGACCAAATGTCAACGTCTCTGAAAAGGCCTTGCTGATTGTCCCCTGTAGCTGACTGTGCTTCCTAAAGACGGTTACAGAAACGTCCCTGAGTGTTTCCTCTGCTTTGAACAGTGGACTTCTGTGCAAGAGGTACCGTGTCAAAGTCAGGCACAGCACTTAACCATCCTGAAAGTCAACCACCACGTAAAAAGTGTGCCTATCCCGGAGGCCACGCAGCTGCCAGCATCCAGCATCAGACCCGGAAGTGAAGAAACCATCCATGGGGTGAAGAGATGGGTTCATGAGAAAGCAGCAGCAGGCAGTGTGAAGTGTAGAGTCCAGGTGGGCATAGTGCTTGCTGTGCATTTTCTTTGACTTTACAATCAACCCAAATTGGAGATTTTCTTCCTCCTTCTCCTTCTCCTCCTTCCCACAAGACAGGGTTTCTCTGTGTACCCTTGGGACTCTGTGTATCCTGGAACTCACTCTGTAGACTAGGCTGGCCCTGAACTCAGAGATCTGCCTGCTTCTGCCTCCCAAGTGCTGGGATTATAGGCTTGCAATACCACCACCCAGCTGAAAATTGGAGATTTTCTTTCTTTCTTTCTTTTTTTTTTTTTTTTTTTTGTTGTTGTTGTTTTCGAGACAGGGTTTCTCTGTGTAGTTTTAGTGCCTGTCCTGAATCTTGCTCTGTAGACCAGGCTGGCCTCAAACTCACAGAGATCTGCCTGGCTCTGCCTCCTGAGTGTTAGGATTAAAGGCGTGAGCCACCACTGCCCAGCGAGATTTTCATTATATTATTTTGTTCCTTTTCTCCTTAAACCATACGTTTTTATTTGTCTTTGCCCCCACTTGCTCCTTTTCATTGTGGATCTGCGTACATGTGACAGTAACAACCATGTGACGGTCAATATGGGGCTGTCTTGGAATTGCTCCTTTTCACTGTGGATCTGCGTACGCGTGACAGTAACAACCATGTGACAGTCAATATGGGGCTGTCTTGGAATTGCTTCTGCCAACAACATTCATCTAAAACTCTCCAAATTCGCCTCCAGCAGATTTTGTAGGATACGGGCAAAAACTAGCCACAGTTCTTTGCCAAATATCACCAGAATGGTTTCTATGACAACTGCTAGTATTGTTCACCTCTGTAACCTCGTGAGCTGGGCCTCAGCACAGCTGTCTTCCATGCTCCTACTAGGATGGCCCATTAAGCCCTCCTTAAAAATGTCCAGTCCCAATAGGGCATGATGGTGCATGCCTTTAATCCCTCTGAAGGCAGAGGCAGGTGGATCTCTGTGAGTTGGAGGCCAGCCTGGTCTACAAGGCAAGTTCCAAGACAGCCAGGGCTACACAGAGAAAGCTTGTCTCAAAAAAAAAAAAAAAAAGTAAATCACTTCTCTAGTCCAAAGTTTCAAAGTGTTCCATATTCCTCTAAACAAAAACATGGTCTGGTCTACCACAACAACTCCCCATTCCAACTTCTGTCTTAGTTAGTGTTTCTGTTGCTGTGAGAGACACCATGACCACAGCAACTCTTATAAAGAAAACATTTAATTGGGGCTGGCTTAGAGGTTCAGAGGTTCAGTCCATTTGTCATGTCGTGTAGGCAGACATGGTGCTGGAGAGGTGGCTGAGAGCTCTACCAGTTGAGAGCAGGCAGCGGGAAAAGAGAGTGATACTGGGCCTGGCTTGAGCTTCTGAAACCTCAAAGCCCACCCCTAATCACACACTTCCTCCAAGAAGGCCACACCTCCAACAATGCCACTCCCTATGAGTCTATGAGAACCATTTTCATTTACATCCTGATCCACAAACAGCAGGCAGAGAGAGTGTGGTAGTTTGAAAGAAAATGGCCCCCAAAGGGAGTGGCACTATTAGGGGGTGTTGCCTTGTTGGAGTAGGTGTGATCTTCTTGGAGGAAGTGCGTCACTGTGGAGGCAGACTTTGAGGTCTCGTATGTGTTCAAGTCATGCCCAGTGAGACAGTCCACTTCCTGTGGCCGGCATATCAACATGTAGCAGTTCCTTCTCAAGCACCATATCTACCTGCACATCTGCCATGCTCCCTGGAATGATGAAAATGGACTGAACCTCTGAAACTGTAAGCCACCACCTCAATTAAATATCCTTTATAAGAGTTGCTGTGGTTATGGTGTCTCTTTCACAGCAACAGAAACTCTAAGACAGAGAGGGAGATTATACCTGGCAAGAGCTTTTGAAACCTCAACGCCCACCTCCAGTGACACACCTCCTCCATCAAGGTCACTCCCACTCCAACAAGGTCACACCTCCTAATCCTTCCCAGATACTTCCACTAATTGGAGAGCAAGTGTTCAAACATATGAGTCCACAGGGGCCATTCTCATTCAAACCACCACACTCTCCCAAGAAAATCAAAACACCCTGGCCATTCTGAAATTCAAAAAGGTTTCAGCAAAAGTGCAATGGCAAAAATTGCCAGACACTGGGCAAGACATTGCCAGGGTGGACAGAAGTGATAACCATATCAATAAGTAGCACATTAGGGTTTCTTACGTTAGCATACAAAGTAGTGCGTTTCATCATGGCATCCTCATTCATATATGTCATTATATTTTATGTCCATTCATCCCTCTGCCTAGCTCTTTCCAGCCCCCTCCCCCAAATAATCCTTTATTTTAATGCCACATGTATTTTCTCTTTTTCCTCTCTCTTTCTTTCATCCTTCCTTCTCTCTCCCTCCTCCCCTCCCTCCCTCCCTCCTTCATTTTGTTTTTCTTAAGACAGGGCCTGTGCTGCCCCGACCAGCCTCAAATTTTCAATCTTCCGGCCTCAGTGTCACCAGAACAGCACAGTATTTTGAGTTTTGTACAAGAAGTGTTTGCAGATCCAGGAGAAACATCAGACACACTTGGAAGCCATAGGACGCTTTCCAGGAGAGGCGAATGTCAACCTCTCAGCAGAGCGCACCGCATCGTAGAAAGGCAGATCCAGACCAGGGCTCCCCATCCCAGTCTCCTGTCCCCCCATCCGGAACTTTGACTCTCTGGAGCACCTCCATCATGGAAGCCGCATAAGTTTCATGGGCACCACACCAGCATCTGGTTAGTATTAATTACTTCCGCATTTATTAAGTGCCCCATTAACCTTGGCTCTGACAGCACTGCCAGCTCCCCGGGTTAAATCCACACTAAATATTCAATTATACACAGCACAAGCAAGCTCACATTTGGCAGGGATTAGCTCACTTGTCCTGCAAAGTCACTTTTCCAGTTGAATAACAACGGTGCCTTTTAACTGTGTAGTGTTTTCCTCTTGAGGGACTTCTGTAGCGGGACCACCTCCCAGAGGGGGACAGAAACTGGGTACCATCATCTCTGTTGCGTAGTTGATGAAGTCAGTGAAGGGAGCTGGCCCTCTCACCACATACCCTGAAATCCACTCTTCCTCCAGGGTCCAGCTCACATTATCTTGGCCTTGAAGCTTTCTCCAGGCCCACATGGGACTCTCCAGGCAGTGCCTGCCACTGAGGGAAGCAGAGAGCCCTGAGTTCTGGCTGAGAGCAACGGCTGAGCCCTCACCACTGACCACCTCAGCAGCGATGGGCCTGTGACTTGCATTTGCTCATGTGAACCCCCCACCAATGCTGATGAAACCGAGGCAGAGAGGTTGAATGGCGGTGAATCTAGCTGTAAATTGTTGCATCCTGAATACGAGGTGGCCCCTCAAAAGGTTCACGTGGCGGGGAGTGTGGAGAGATGACTCAGTAGTTAATTGCACTTGTTGGTCTTACAGAGGATCCAGGTTCAGTTCCCAGCACCCACAGAGCAGCTCACAACTGTCTGTAATTCCAGTTGCAAGGGATCTGGCATCCTCTTCTGACTTCTGTGAGCACCAGGGATGCAATGGTGGAGATACATACATGCAGACAAAACACTCAAACACATAAATAAACCTTAAAACAAAAAGGTTCGTGAGTTGAAGACTTGTTTCCCGATGTGTTTGAGTTCAGAACTGGGTTTTGGAGAATTAATTAAATCCTGATGGCATCTCCATTGATGGATTCATAATTTGATGATGCTATGGGGGGCGGGGGACGAGATAGAGCCTACTTGAAAGAAGTAGATAACTGGGAGGAGCATGGTGGGAGGAGCCCGGTAGGAGCAGACCTGATGGGAGTAGGCTGGGAAAGAAATTTGTCTCTAGCGGCTTCCTGTACCTCACCATGCTTTCCTGCCTGTCAGGTGAGCAGCTACACTCCACCACACCCTGTCTGTGGTGATGCCGGCCCAGAGCAATGGAGCCAAGCAATCGTGGATCAAAATCTCTAAAGCTGTGAGTCAAAATGAGTCCTCTTTTAGACTGTTTCTCTCTGGCATCTGTCACAGCGACATTCTGACTAACACAACATTAATCACTGTTGTAGCCAGGGTGCAGAGGCAGGACTTTGAGCTCCTTGGCTAAACCACAAACAAGCCTGCAATTCCTTCATTCAATAGACATTTGTCGAGTGCATACTTATTTTTAATTTTTTTATATTATTTTATGTGTATGAATGTCTTGCCTGTATGTATGTAGGTACACCACACATGTGTGCCTAGTGTCCTCAGAGGTCAGAAGAAGGCATTGGGTCTCCTGGAACTGGAGTTACAAACTGTTGTGGTAGGTGCTGGGAACTGAACCCAGGTCTTCTGCAAGAGCAGCCAGTGCTCTTGACCACCGAGCCACCTCTTCAGGTGGGAGCACCTACCCCTACAGTCAGCACTTGCTAGGGAAGCAGTGAGGAAATGTGGACCCCACCTTAACAAATTATCATCCAGCAAGGAAGACAGATTTAAAGTTCCGACACCAAAGATTATTTATCACATACACAGTAGTGTTAACAGAATTTTATGTGTATGTGTCTGCACATGTGGAGGTCAGAGGTCAACTTTTGGTGCGGTTTTTCAGACACCATCTGTTTTGTTTGTTTTTAAGTGATAGAAACAGAGGCAGATTATTTTGGTCTCATTTACCTATTTACTCATTTTAATCTTAGTGTTTGTGTGTCTATGTGTACATTCATGTGTGTGTGAACACGGGTGTGCACATGTGGAGGTCGGACATCAGCCTCAGGTGTCAGGCCTCGATTTCCCCTGTGTTTGAGACAGATCTCTTGGTGGCTACTGCGTAAACCAGGTCAGGTGGCCCACAGGCTTCCAGGGACAGTCCAGTCTCTGTCTCCTTTCTCAGTACAGGAGCACTAGAATGACAAGCCTCATCCTGCCTTCAGTGGGGTCTGGGGATGCAAACTCAGGTTCTCATGCTTGCAGAGCCAGCAAGTGAGTTACCCACTGAGTCACCCTCACAGCCCCAGAGAGTTTACTAAAGGGATGGGTGCTCCCCAGGACAGGAGTGATCTGAACATTGACAGCATCGAGACTGAAAACCTACCTTGTTTTATATAAGACAGGTCTCTCAGTGGGACCTGGGACTTGCCAGTTAGGACAGACTGGCTGTCCGGCAGGCCCCAGGGACCTACCCGCCTCCACCTCTCCTTCACTCAGATTGCAAACAGCCTACTTAGGCTTTCATGGTAAGAACTCTATCGAGTCAGGTAAGACAATGATAGGAAGAAAAGTCGGATCTCTGGATGGTTTTTTTTTTTTCAATTTGGGGATCAGTAACTCTTCCCTTATTTTTATATTTTGTAGCTAAGCAATGCAGGAGGATGCCTACATGTTCACAGGGCACTTCTTTCTCTGAGTCACAGATTTCCCAGCTATAAAAATGGGAACAAAAAATAGCAATAACAGCCAGGCGTGGTGGCACATGCCTTTAATCCCAACACTTAGGAGGGAGGCAAAAGCAGGTGGATCTCTGTGAGTTCGAGGCCAGCATGGTCTACAGAGTGAGTTCCAGGACAGTCAGGACTACACTGAGGGACCTAGGCTCAAAAAGCAACAAAAGCCTGAAGCAACTCAAACCGTCACCCACAGGGGGCGTTAGAAAGATGACGGTTCATCTATGCTGTGGACTACGCAGCATTTTAAACGCATGGGGCAGGCCAAGCGTGGTGATGCACGCTTGCAATGCCAACTGAGGAAGGAGAATTTTGAGTTTGAGACCAGCTTGGACTACATACTGAGAATCTGTCTAAACAAAACAAAACATAAACCAGAAAGCAGGAGGCAGTTTGGAATGCTGGAGAAGGATCCTTAAGGCAAAATAAAGGAAAGGAGGCAGGCCCCCGAGGTAAAGGAGTACTGCGCGATGCACACAGATGTCCAGCAAGGATGTGCAAGAAACAGAGAATGGGTCTCTCCAGGAAGGAAGCCAGCACCTACAGCCTGGAGGAGGCTCCCCGGGGTTGGTTGGTTTGTTTAGAGGGAGTCTGGCCACATAGCCAGTCTGGTCCTCCTGCTTCAACTTCGCCTGTGCTGAGGTTACAGATGCCATCACACCCAGCTCAAGACTTAATCCATTTGTTTCTTTTGTTCTCTTCTACTTCTGTTTTGAAAAGGCAGAGTCTCATGCAGCCCAGGCCAACTGAGGCTAGCCTTGAATTCTGTCTCTACTTCCCAAGTGCTGAGATTACAGGCATATGCCACATATTTAATGTGTCATTTTGTACCTTTGGGTTTTATATTGTATTCATGTATGTTCCTGGAAGATATATATTAATCAGTCTAAGAAAAATGTAAATATTTTAAAATTTTAATGCTCGTGTGCAAGGTGTCCATGGAGACCAGAAGAGGATGTCAGATCCCTTGGAGCTGGAGTTACAGGCAGTATGAGCCCCCTCCCCCGACAAGGGTGCCGAGAAATGAACTTGGGTTCTCTGGAAGCATTAAGTGCTGCTAGTCTCTCCAGCCCAAGAAAATTTGCATATAACATTTAGGCGAGAGAAAAAAAAATTCAGTCGCTCTCCCTGTTCCCATTAGCCTCCTGAACAATGATATTGTTATTTTCAAAGGAGAGGTTGCATACATCAGCCTTGGGAGGATCTAGAAGGATTAGAACATGTGTTGCTTACAGTGAGATGACAGAGGACTAAGAGGCCAAGCAGGAAACAGAGAAAAGAGGAGGGAGCGTCAGGAGAAACAAAGAGCCTCTGCCTACATACAATGACCTCCGAATAAGAAATCCGCAATTACTTTAGTGCCCCTGAGACCCCGAGCTCCTTGCACTGCCTGCTTCTTTGTTACCAGCTGCCAGGTTGTCATGGTAATGGAATAACCTATGATAAGCTTATTTTCAATTCTGAAAACATTTTAAATAAAAGCAAATACCAGTAATCTGCAGACGAGCTGCAGTGAGAGAAAGGTCCATGGGAGAGAAAGCATCAGGGTGGCCTTTCCAGGGCGGACACCTGGCTTAAAGCTAGTGGAGTGAGCAGAGAGCGGAGGGTCAGAAACCTGGACAGGCATCTGAAGTGCCAGAGGCGAGTCTGGTCATCACTTCCTGCTCCAGCAGGTCGGATGCGTGTGGTGCTTTGACGCAGTTCCCAGCAAGTGCACAGAGTGCCGGTTGGGGCCACATTTGAAAAACCACTGTGGTAATGGCTCTGCCCTGGGCTCTGTGAGTGCTGTGCTCCAGCCTCCGCTCACCCTAGACACATCTACCCCTCTCTATGGGTCTCCTCTATCACCAAGTGGCACAACGTCCTAACATCCTTACAAGAGTTATGGGGCAGACACCTTCGGGGCCAACGGCTTTTCAGGGCAGCTTCCAAAGCAGAGGTCTATGCCTCGTGTAGATGAGAGGATGGGAAGACTGGCCAGTGCCTAGCTGTTCTTGCTAGAACTCCTTCATTCAGCTGGCTCGTCGGGCCGTAGGGATGGCCAACATGGACCACTGGGCCAGAGAGAAGGTGATTGTTCATTATGAGTATAATTAAGGAGGGGCCAGAGCTGGCTGGACTTGGAAGAGACAGAAGTTGTCTTCAGGAACCACAGTTGACCTCAGAAATTGATGTGAGGGCCAACAGGTTCAAAAGCCAACCCCATCCAACACACACAGTTTTCTGAATAGAAACAGAGTTGAGCCTCAGCACTAGCGACTGAGGCAGGAGGATCACTACAAATTTCAGGTCAGCGATACCTGAGCTTAAAACAAAACTGAACATCAACAACAACAAATGCCAGGGTTGATGATGTGGCTCAGTTTGAAAGAGCACAAGGCCCTGGGTTCCACCTCTGGCACCACATAAGCCCAGCATAGTGGAGCACATCTGTAATTCTAATACTGGGATGCGGTGGGGCAGAAGCACAAATATCAGAAGTTCAAGGTCACCTTTGGCACAAAGCAAGTTTAAGGTCAGCCAGGGCTACATGAGACCCTGTTTTGTTTTGTTTTTTTTTTAAAAAAATAGAAATTAAAAAATAAAATTAAATAAAATTTTTAATTTTTAAGAAGAGACAAATACAGAAAGAGTTATTATGGTGGTGAGCACAGCTTTGTTTTTTTTTTTTTTGTTTTTTGTTTTAAATTCATTTATTTACTATGTATACAGCATATGTGACTGCAGGCCAGAAGAGGGCACCAGATCTCATTACAGATGGTTGTGAGCCACTATATGGTTGCTGGGAATTGAACTCAGGACCTCTGGAAGAGCAGTCAGTGCTCCCAACCTCTGAGCCATCTCTCCAGCCCGCTTTGTTTTGTTTTTAAGGGTCTGAAATACAATGGTTTGTTGGAAACAGGTATGCAGGTAAGAATAAGCAGTGTGCATGGAGGTCTGAGCAGAGGCTGGCCAGGGGCAAAGAGCTGCCTTCCTGAAGAGGACTGGATGGGCAGAGACCTGGTGATGGAGATAACAAGACCCACTGGGGAAACTGGAAACAGAAGCGGGCTCAGCTGGAGCTGAGGGCCGGCACGCCTCCTCTCTCCAGATGCTGCAGCCTGTCAGAAACAGAACTCTGGAAAGGGCTTCTCTTCCGCCCCAGGACAGAGTCTGTTCTGTTTCTTGCCTACTCTGTCTGGCTCCCTTCCAACACCAGTTCTTAAGGCTCTGGTCAAATGTAATTCCACAGGCCCCTATCCCAGGATCCAGAAACAGGACAGCAACATCCGGCATCTTCTGCCAGCCTCTCCTCTAGCGCCATCTCAGTCCCCAATCCCTGGCAGCCACCCATCAAATCCTTTCCCCGCCATGATGTGTGTGTGACAGAGGACACTGGACAGTCATTCTAGCTGATTTGTACAATTTGTTTCCTGGGCTTTGGGCAACCCACTCCATCTCCAGATGGCTGTGAGCGGCTTCCAAGCGCCATGCCTTCCTAACCACCTCTCAGGAGCTCCCTGAGGGATGCCTTACATTCTCTTTCCAGGGGTTAGCACAGTACAACCCTGGATGTTTCCGAAGCACGAACCAACCTAATAAGCACAGGCATCTCCATGGCATCCTTCATCTAGCTTATTGAAGCGTTCTGCAGATGCAAAGGAACATCGAACCAAATCCCGAGAACACTTTCTGAACCCCAGGAGTCATGCACCATTTTATTAGGTAGTTTATTGGCGCAGCAAACTGGGAGTCTGGCACCCTCCGTTCACAAACCAGTTCAGAGATAGGATCTAACCTGCCCAAGGTTGAAGAGTAAGTTCATAGATGATCTGAACTTAGAAACTAAGCCTGCTGGCCCTGTGGAGGGACAGAGTCCTCACTGATCAGTTAATAGGAATGCACAGACCTCTGAGGAGCAGCCATTTAACTAACTGCCTGGACCTATGAAATGCTTGGAACTGCATAGCCTGGGTGGTAAACAAGCCCGTCAATCTGTTTTGTGCATTTAGTTGCAATTCCTCATTTGTTATTTTTATCTGATTGGTTTCACTTTAGACCTGGTTCCCATTTCTCATTTATGACTAAAGGCCCTTGGGTGAGGAAAAGGGAAGTCGAGGAGTGTTCTCTTTCATACTCTGCAAATGTTTCTATACCTCCTTTCCCCTCCCCCTCCTTTTAAAATAACATTTTCTTCCCAGGGCCCGACAAGCTCCTAAAATCCCCTGCCTTTCCAATCTCCTTGCCTCGGCTGTAATTATCTTGGGAGAATTTAAATTCCTTATCATGGGTTTGTGACAGAGCCAGCTTAAGTACAGACAGCCTAGCTCCATTCTGAGTCTTGTCAAACTGCCCTCAATAGGTTTCTTTAATAGGAATTATTGTTAGATTTTTTTTTTTTAAGGGCGATAATGGGATTGTGACTATGGTAAAGAAAGAACCCTTATCTTTTTTTTTTTTTTTTTTGAGATACATACTGAAATATTTACCAGTGAAATGATACAAAGTCGGGGATTTGCTTCCAAACAGTCTGGTGGGGGAAGTGTGAACTATACTGGCTCACTGAAGTTGCTAACCTCCAATGGCTCTCTCTCACAATTAAAATGTTTTTTTCTAGTGCTGGGGATAGAAGCCAGGATGTCATGCGTGCTCTGTAGGGTTCTGCCAGTAAGCTATTTGCCCACCCCTCTTGCAGGGACCTACCTCTTTGCTTCCTCCCCTTTACCCTCTCACTCCCCCTCTCCCCCCCCCCCCCCCCCCACACACACACCCAGGCTTTGAACTGTTCTATTGTGAATTCGGGGATGGGATTTGCCTCTGGGAGATTCAGCAGAGGAAACAATGTGAGAGCTAAAGCCAAGGATGCTTGGGTTCAAGACCGAGCGTCCACCTCCACGGTCTCAGGGCCTGTACACGAGTCGCTTGCTCCTCTGGGTCCCAGTGACCTCGTCTGCAAAGGGAAAACAAGGCCGGCAGAAAGGGGCTTGCTTTCCTACTAGGGTCTTTGCTTCGTTTGACTCATTATTAGTGGTGTGTGTGGAGGTCAGCGGGCAACTTTGCGGGCATGGTTCTCTCCTTCCACCTTATGTGGCCACCCAGGGATTGAACTCAGGTGGCCAGACTTGCATGGCAAGGGCCTTTACCTGCTGAGCCATCTCACTGGCCTGGACTCTCTTTTGCTACTTCTGCTTCACCCACCTTGAAGGTGGATGTCAACTCCTCAAGGTCTCCCCCAACTCCTGTGCCCTTCAAGGAAGGAAGGGAGTTCTGAGCTCTGGAGCAGATTTGACCACCTGCTCTCCAGGGCTTCTTGGAGGTCTTAAGACATTCCAAGCACAACACGTACACATTGGAGCTTGCCATGCCCCTCTTACCCTGATCCCACAAGAATCCTGACCCTCTCTCCAGTCATCCCAGAGACCCATTTCAGCATCCCTTCCCTTCCCTTCCCTTCCCTTCCCTTCCCTTCCCTTCCCTTCCCTTCCCTTCCCTCCCCTCCCCTCCCCTCCCCTCCCCTCCCCTCCCCTCCCCTCCCCTCCCCTCCCCTCCCCTCCCCTCCCCTCCCCTCCCCTCCCTTCCCCTCCCCTCCCCTCCCCTTACCTGGCTGCCCTAGGCCATGCTCATCTTCCAGATCCTCCCTTAGGTACCTCCCACTGCCGTACTGACTCAAGCCCTGGGTTCACTGGCCTGGGCTTCCTGACTGGATTCTCTTCCTTCAGGCTGCTAACAGTGTTCTCCCTCCCAAACCATCCCTCCAGGCCTTGAAAACTTCAATGGCCTCTTTCCATGGAGAACCCGAAAGGACTAAATTCCTTAGTGTGGCGTTTGATACCCTGCATAGCTTGGTCTATATCATCTGCATTTCCTGCTGGTAAAGCCATGGACCCAGGTTCATATCAAAGTAAGTTAGGGCCTTAACTAAGGCCCCAGAATCCTAGGTCCTACCCCAAACAGTTGAATTGGGAATCACTCAATATCAGAAGCACACAGAGGACCTGAGGACACGGGGCTCAATTGTCAATTAGCTGTGTAAGTTTGAGGAGCAGAGCTCAGAGGCCCAGAATCTATGCTTAAAGATGAGCATAGAAGCATGCCTGTAACCCCGGTGTTGGAGAGACAAAGGTAGAAGGACCCTGGGGCTTGCTGACCAGTCAGTCCAATGGAATTAGTGAGCTCCAGGTTCTGTGAGAGAATGTCTTGGAAAATAAAGTGAGAGCCTAGAGAGATGGCTCAGCAATTAAGAGCCCTTGTTCCTCTTGCAGAGGACTTGGGTTCAGTTCCTACCCAGCACCTGCATTGGTTCTCAGCCATGTGTAACTAACTCCAGGGGATCCAATGCCCTTTTCTGGCCTCCACAGGTACATGCACACACGTGGTATGCATACATACACCCAGGCACATAGGCATACACATAAAAAAAATATATTTTTTGAGACAGGGTCTCTCTACATAGCCCTTGCTATCCAAGAACTCACTCTGTAGACCAGGCTGACCCGAAACTCATAAAGATCCGCCTGCCTCTGCCTCCCCAGTGCTGGGACTAAAGGCGTGCGCCACCACTGCCCCTCTATAGCTTCTTAAGCCTATATTTTAAAAAGTAAAAGTGAAGTAGTGATTGAGGAAAATACCTGATGTTGACCTCTGGCTTTTGCCTTTGCACACATGTGTACATGCTTCTGCAACACACAGGAACCACTACACACATATATACGTGCATCTACACACACAGGAACCTCTACACACACAAACGCATGCATCTGCAACACACAGGAACATCTACACACACACACACACACACACACACGCACACGCACACGCACACGCACACGCGCGCGCACACGCACACACACACACACACACTCCATTCACAAAAGATCTGAGGACCCTCCCTTCAGCCACAGTAGATGTCATGCCCCGGGCTTTCGCTCGTGCTGGACTGATTTCTGGCTTTTCTTTGAGACCTGCTGTCAATGTCGTGTCCTTCACAAAGGCCTTTGTGCCGGCTGACAGAGGGAGCCTGCGCCTGCTCTGCTCCACCAGCACCTGAACACACTTCTGTCATAGACGGCGCCATCACCCTGGGAGCAATTTTCTGCTTGCCTTCCTGTCTAGAGCGACATCTCCACCAGAGCAAGCCCCGGAACACCAGAGCCCCTCCGCAGAGCACAGAGCACAGAGCAGTGCTCCATAAACACCAGTTCATTTGATTGTGTCTTATTCTTTCTTGGTTCCTGACCACCAAGCATGGTGCTTAGCCCCGGTGGGTACTGTCTGATGGGAAGATTATCGAAGAATGGATGAAAGCATGAAGGGGAGACGAAACACACCCATCAGCCAGTGCTGACTTCTCGTTGATCCGCATTCTGGAATGCCTGTTTATATGAGAGACCGTCACCAACCCGAGGGAGCTGTAAACTGGGTCAGAATCTGGGTCTACGGGCTCTAGGTTTCACAAAATCACTACATCAAAAAACGTTCTGATGTTAATCAGAAAAGTCACTCTTTTCAAACTTTTTATGACATTTATTGAAGTCAGGGAAAAGTTGTGGGC